TTCTGACAAAGGAAAAACAAAAAATTCTTTGGATGAATGACAAAATAGAAGACTAATGCAATACAAGCCTTCCCCCCCTCCCCCCCCCACTTTGTAATTATTTTAAACATCAAGGAGCGAATTGTGAAGTGCCTTTATTAACTGCCCACAAAATCTGAAACTACACCTATTTTCAGTTGTGTATGGTCTGTGATTAAAGCAGATGTAATTACTACTTAAGAAGAAAAAATAAGTTTATGTAGAAAAATAAATCTATATTAATAATTATGCAGTTAAAACAGTTACGCACACTTCCTCATTTCTACTCCATTCCCTGATATTATCCTCACCTTTTCCCTGCTCTGCCAGGTACTAAAGTTGAAGGTTTCATTCTAGTGGTGGCTTGGGACGTTTTGGTGAGTTGCCAGGTGTCCTTCAGTGTGGGGAATATGATGTGCATGTTGGTGTCTGCTTACTCCTTCTAGGATCTGCACAGGGTCATCTGATATGTTTGCTTACATGCTTTTACATCTTGCTCTTTTTTTTTCAGTTGTCTATATCACAGAATCACAGAATTGCAGGGGATAGAAGGGATTGCAAGAGATCAACTGAGTCCAATCCTCTGCAGATAGCCTACAGTAGGTCACACAGGTAGGTGTTCAGATGGGTCTTGAATATCTCCATAGAAGGAGACTCCAAAACATCTCTGGGCAGCCTATTCCAGTGCTCCATCACCCTTACTGTAGAGAAGTTCTTCCACATGCTTGTATGAAACTTACTATGCTCAAGTTTTAGGCCATTTCTCTTCATCCTATTGCTACACACCACCAAGAAGAGCCTGGCCTCATTGATTTGCCTCCCACCTCCCTTTAGACATTTATAATAATTTATCAGATCTCCTCTCAGTCTTCTTTTCCCTGGGCTGAACAGACCTGAGTTACTCAGTCTTTTGGGAGAGATCATCATCATGGGAGATGCTCCAGGCCCTTCATCATCTTTGTGCCTCCACTAGACTCCTTCTAGGAGATCCTTGTCTTTTTAAAATAACCACCACATTCTAGGACCAAAAATATACTATTAATTTCAAGTGAAAATGTTGTTCTTGCTCATAGTCTATGGACAAAGTTTTCAGTAACATAACTTCAGGAAGATCTGATACTTGAGATACTGCCCTTAGAAAATCCTACCATGTGATGACAACTTGTAGAAATAATTGATAGCATTGCATCAAGTTAATTAATGTTGATACTCTTTTCCAGTATATTTGCACCCTCTTTAATGAGACTGATTTGAGGTTTTGGGAATGAATTGTGTGGAATTCTTTAAGGAGTGTTACCTGGATTTGTTGAAATCTTTGTTGTACAAAAACCTAGTTTAATTTCATAATGAAATATTGAAAAAAATCAGAAAAAGTTAATCCAAATATATTCAGAGACTGTTCATTTTGCAATTACCAGTTACAAAAGTCTTCAACTTGTACATTGCACTTTTTATGCAAAGATCTTAAACTATTTTAAAACAGTCATATAAGTTGGGAGACTTAATAAGAGAAACAGTATTTTTTTCCCCTAGATCATGTCACAAGCTTGTAGAAAGATCCAAATTAGATTATGCATTTGGCTGAAACAAACAGTGTATATTCCACGTAAAGATTTGAAAGTTTACTTCTTGTTCAGTCCCAAAGTTAAACTCCAGCTGCATAGCATCCACATGTCATCTCCACTGACAGTAGGATAGGTTTCTTTACAAGAGTCCTTTCCTGTGTTAGAGATACAGACACCATGCTGTGAATCATTAAGAAACTTGTGTACTGTAAAGAAACAAGAAATTCACATCACAGCTCTTTAGCTATGATCCAGTATGAATTATACTACATAATAAGGCAGGACAAGGTCTCTCATGAAGCTATAGGACATATTTCATTTCTAGTACTTCACAAAAAGAACTGTGAACAGAAAAGTGTAACGACAAGAAGTTTCTGCATCTTAAATAGTACTGCTCTTTGAGAAATATATTTTTCTACCTGATCTGCTTTGTTCAGCAATTTAAGTTCCAGCTGATTAGAGCTCTATAACACAAACCCCTACATGGCACAGCAGCTGATTCTAACATTTCATGAGATCTTTTCAAAGGCGGAATGCTGTTATTCTTCTAAACTTTGTTGTATATTTCACATTACCTAATTTTATTACTTTTAGAAGACTGAGAAGTCTTGAAGTTTGCATTATGACTGTGCTGGTGATGACTGTGAAATACTCAAGTTTTAGAAGAACCTAATAGAAACTTACTTCCTTACAGTATAAGACAGGCATTATAAACATCCTACAAATAAAGTGTTCCACAATAATGGGCTTGGTTTAAATTTTTCTTGTTCAGGCAAACACATTTAAACCATCATCAATAACTAAAACAGCCAATAAAATAATTTCCATCTGGCCTATTCTTTATATTGATTTTCCCTTTCCTAAACTGCAGTATAGCCTGCTACGTGTGCTATTTTTGTTGTTGTTTGTATAATATTTAATAAAGTACAGGCCAATTCTGCTAAAATTTGTCATGTAAACAATACATTTTGAGTTACTTTTTATTTTAAGAAATACCCTTAGAAAAGAAGAGCGGTAACAAGAGAAATAGTAGAAACTACTCCAGAAACAAATTCCATAGCTTCTCAGGCAAACTAGATTGAATATTTATGTATCCTACAAACCTTTTAAAAAATAGTATGGAGAATTTACAAATCTGAACCTGAAAAAGGAAAAGTTTATCTAATAATAGAAATAGTTTACCCAACATGTTCGTAACTGTGTGCATTCATCCTTTCAGCAATAAACAATCTTGAATTTTCCTGTTAGCTCCATGGTCCTTTTGCTTTTATGATAGACTATTCAGTATCAGATTTGCTGGTATAAGCCAGTGTAAGAACACCAAGATGCTAGGAATCACAAGTGCATTATTAAACTTCCTTCACGTGGACTTTCTGACTGATGTTAGAAGCTGGCATTTTACTTGAATACAGAATAATTTCCACAAATGTTCATTTGAGTATTTCAATACATTTGCTCTTTTATTTCCTCTTTCTCATTTACTCCCAGTAAATCAGTGCTTTTAGTCACAAAGATTGTGACACATCGAAATGCTCAATAAAAAGTCTACAACTACAAACTAAGACTAATTTTCAATCCAGCATATGCACCGGTGTACCATTTTCCCTTTTGTGCAAATACATTTCAGCATTCAAGCAGTTGAGCTTAAACTTTACCTGTATGTTAACATCTGTACAGGTATATTATTCCTTATTTTTTTCATTGTTTTCCACTCAGTGTTGGAATTTTGCCTTCCTGAAGTTTTACCACTTACGTTACTGTATACAGATCAGCTATCGTTTCCATTTCCTTTCCCTACTTATTCTCTGTATATGTTGATTTTATGACTCAGTTGGAAGTTAATTGTTTACCTATCTTCCATCTGCCCAGCTAGAGAGAAGCCAGGGAGCCTGCATTCAGGTCCTTTGTGTCTGTACACATTCAAACTCTATGCATACTACCTAATTAATAACTGATATTGCTGCAGATATTCATAACTGCCGTTAAAGTCTATGGGGAATATAAATACTGCGGGAGGGAAGGGATTCTTAAAGATCATCTGGTCCAACTCACCTGCAGTGAACAAGGACACCTACAGCTCACTCAGGTTTCTCAGAGCCACATCCAGTCTGACCTTGAGTATCTCCTGGGATGGGGCATTCACCACTTCTCTGGGCAACCTGTTCCAGTGCCTCAACACACTTATTCTTTTTCCTTATATCCAATCTAAATCTTCCCTCTTTTGATTTGAAGCCATTTCTCCTTGTCCCATCACAACAGAC